ACACCAAAACCAACTAAAAACACAACAGGACACCAATTAGGCTGATTTAATGACCCTTGCATCACACTAGAAATGTGCCTCCTAATGTAATTGCCAGACCAGGTCTTTAAGTTATGCCATATGCAGTGGTTATTTCTGTTAGCTGGTTAGAAAAAGGGCTGGAATTGGAAAGGACATGAAGTGGCTCCAGAGGCATAGCTGATGAGCAGATTGTGAGGACCAGGGAAGAAAGCCTGGAACAGGCAGAAACAAACAGGAATTTTCACAGGCCTAAGGCCATTTGTGTTTGGCAGGAACCAGCTTTCTAGTAAAGACTTCATTTCACATAAAAATGTGGGGGTTTAGGGATTACTGCACTTTGCCAGTAGGAAGCAAATAAAGCCCCTTCCTTGTGGGAAACTATTCTTATAAACAAATTCTTATGTACAGGCTTGTACCTGGAAAACAAAGAAAAATTTTTATTACCACTGATTTCTAGTTGCAGTCTACACAGTGCCAGTGCAGACTGCAGCCCCACTGAGACACATCCCATTTCTTGCATTCACCAAAATCTTAAAACATTCTTTGCTTCTGGAGGAAAATAAGAATTGTGCAAGTGCTCCTTCTCACCTTGACAATATTACATTATTACCATCCTCGTCACTGTCTCATTTTGCTTCAACAATCCCCGTGATTAAATGCACAGGAACATACCAGTTGTACATTCTGGATTACTTGGCTCCAGTAAATAACAGCATTTGCCAGCTATCACATACTGCCACTTATGTACCCTTTTCTCAGCTGATTGCAATAGTGACTAGAACAGTAAGTAACATTTTGCCCTATAATGTACTGTATTCATACCCATAACAGAATGTAGTAGAGATTTCTTTTTGCTAAATATGCATTTATGTGCTTTTCTTCTCTCTTGTGCATACACACAAATGCTGGCAGGTGAGCTATGTAATTTTTTAACTCTTCTGAACTACTGAACTGTATACATCAGTGACAGTTATCCAAGTCACATACATCAATCAATCACAATAATTTTTTATTAATATTTGTTTCAGTGACATTTCAAATATTTTTTTTCTCCCTGAGCAATCTTAGCTTGCATGTCATCTCATAGTAATTGTGATGAACAGCAGATGGAAAGAGGTAATACAAAAAGAGAAATCCAATTTTGTACCCCTTCTAGGTAGAAATTGTAGAACAAATCCTTATGTTATTTTCCTTATGCAGTGCCATATTCTCTATGCTAATTTTACAGAACAAATGGTCATAATCCACTTTGTATCATTACAAATGCCTGATCCGTAAAGGAGATGAGGGACTTTAAAATATAAACCACACAAGAAGAGAGAAGCAAATACCCCAAGGACAAGCAGCAAAATGGATTCCCTGGAGGGAGCAATTTTGCACCAAGGTGGAGCTGTACTGGAAATACCGAGGATATTTCAAATGAGTACTTGCCTAATTGCACTGTTGGTTCCTTCCGGCATATTTCACAATATGTGCAGATACATTCAGAGGGAGTAAAGTATTTATTGATTTTGGGGTTTAAGCTGACATAAAATTTTGAGCATTTTTGTTTCTTCACACAAAAGGCCTCAGCAGTTTTCAGTTGTAGCAGGTGCACCTCCCTTCCAAAACTGCGAGAAATTATGATGTTCCAGTTTTCATATGAGGGGGCCTGGGGTATTGGATGCTTCAGATCAGATACTGGGTTTTCTCTGTCTGTGAGTTAGAGAAATTTTAAATACTGTTCCCATTCTCATACACAATTCTTCAGCAATATCTTATTCCAACTGTAAGATCCAGATCAAATTAATACACGAAGGTTTCTGCCACTCTCCGACTTGTCCTGGCCTCACTCTGCATTTTTATAACCAACTTCAGTATTGGAACATCCAGCTGCTAACTCATGTGAGATCAACCATTTGTCAGATATGTTTTATGTTTCGAAGCATGGCTGCCTTTTCTTTCGAGCATAGCTATTTTACTTTTTATTTCAAGTTTGCTATGTTTGTCCTGTTTGCCCTTGTACTGTGGTCTTCTTTGCCCAAGGGGTGCAGATGGGATGGCAAAAGGGGAGAAGGGCAGGGTCTCCACATAACCATGGACAGTAGCTCAACCCAGGGCCAAAGAGCAGATCTGTGCCTATGAACTCCACTTCCCAACACGCATAAGGTGTTTAAAGGTGTGCAATCATCTTAAAACAGAGATGACATTTTAAAGGAGTAGTGACCATGTCTATATGATCTTACCTTTGGCTTTGCTTTTAATTCTACGTGTTATATATTTTACTGAATTGGCTAAGAGAGCATAAAGAGAAAGATTATTTAATAGCAATTTATCACACAAATATATACACGAGCCTACACACACATTTCAAAGCATCTTCACTTGTTCTAAAGTCTTTGTTTGACTTACCCACACGGCAAAAGTGTCAGTATGAAAAATGGCAAACTCCTCAAACATCAGCTCTTTGTATTAGTTCCAACACTGATGACAGCAGCTAGTCTTTCTCCCAGTCAGAGTCAGTGACCCAGCACCACTACGGAAGTGTGACCTGTTATTCCATTGTGTTTCGTGCCCCATGAACAAAAATGTCAGCTCTGCTCTGACTGCAAAAATCTTTATTACTACTGATGTATGAGAATGGGCTAAATGTAAATTTGATAAACAGAACCTAGGTAGATTTCGCCCTGTGAGACTTCTGGCCAATAGTAACATATAATTACAGATTAAACGCAGTGGATCTGGAGATTAACAAGAGAAAGTAGGCATGGATGCCTAAAGTAGATATATTTTTTTCTCTACAGCACTTTTCATATTGTGGCCACTTTCCAAGTTGCCAAACAGGTTGCATCAAACGTGGAGATCATGCTCCTGTTCAGCACAATGAGAAGTTACCCCAAAATATTACCATATCACACAGGCACTCTATAAACACCGTGAAATGAACTCCTCCTAAAGAGTTTATGAATGGAACAAAAGGTTGGAGAAAAAAAGAAGATGCCCAATGGAAACAATGCAGAGATCAGAGCAGAGTTTATGTCTGCTTGACTTCTGGACCACTGCTACACGTAAATCATACCTCTCCAAACTCAAAAGAATTGAGTACATGTGGATGTACAAGGTCAGCGTTCTATAAATTCTCAGATTCAGAAGCAGAACTGCAGGACCAGCAATTTATAGGCAGCTCCTGCTGATGTTTCTAATTGCTATAGTAGAAATTACGTGCATTCTTCACAGCAGTAGCATGTAAAATCTCTTCTCTTTTTCATCTGCTAGAGCTCAGCTAGCATACCTGTTCATGGGGCTCATTAGCATGTGCTACAGATGTTGGTAGATAACCTTGAAAAAAACATAAATGTGGTTGAGCCCTGGTCTCATTTGTTTTGCATAGTTAGAACTTGTGCACTTCCTTCAAGCTATACCTCTCAGTGGGGTGTTCAGTACATCATCTCCTGGAGTTTGGGGCTGGCTTGTTTTCTTAAGCATTTCTTCCACAATTATTTGGCTTACAGGCACAGGAAAGAATAACCTTCTGTTTCTGCCATTTGCCTACTTGTATCTTTGGTGGAGACAGACATTATCAGTAATATTTATCTTAATGTCCAAGTAAGGGAAACATGCCCAACAGATGCTTCTTTACCATTTTTAAATAAGCTACATGGTATTTGAACAGTAAGTAAGCATGCTACAAACATTTATGAGCTAACACTGTCCCTTCCCACAGTCCTCTGCCTCCTTAAAGCCATTTACTCGTCAATTATCCTAATTCACCTTAGAATGAGAAACTAATAAACCTCACAGGAAGACAAGTCTCTTTTCCAGAGCATTATAAATTCTTGATCTTTCTTTTAAAGTGAGGGTCAGGACTGAGGAAACTTGTTGGAGATGAAAGAGCATTACAGGTGTCTGCCTTCTGTGCATCTGTGATACACAAAACTTCATGCTTAACAAATTTTCCCACTTCACAGGAATAGGGAATGGACTTCCAGCAATCGGGTTCAAATCATGGCATGTTTTTCCACTAAAAGATCAAGATATACTTTCCTTCCTGTTACCTGGATTGCTATCAGACAAAGCTCCCACATAATAAATGCAATCTGCCTCTTCCTCCTAATTCACCCTGGACCCTCAACTGGAGTGAAGGATCCTGATTCATCTGTGGACGTGTGTTACAGATGTCACTTAGGGCACATGCTGAGGATGAACACCATTTAACAGTCCCTTCAATTGGAATTGCATTACCATCATATTAATTCTGATCAGTTAAAGGGTTTACGTGGCATTCATAAGCCACTGGTTCTGTTTCTCTGACTGCACGTTCTGAATGTGTGGACTACTGCTGTCAATGCTCACAGAAGAGAGCCCAAAAAGCTAGTCTTACAAAAGTCTGAAGTCATACACAGCTGTGTGAACAGGACTGGGTTTTCTTTGGCCAGGAAATTCTCATTAACTTTGTAAAACTGCATAAAGAGTGGAATATGAATTGGATCTGAACCCTCAAAACCACATAGGTTTGTTATTATGGTCAGAATGACTTTAATTATTAGACCAAAGGTCCAAAATTGTAAAGGAATACATAAAAGTACACTTCTCATCCAGTCAGTTTTATAGATAACAGAACATATTGAGATTGGTGATAAGAGAAATTCTTCCTTTGTGGAACTGAATAAATGCCAGCATCACCACTGCATTTCAAATGATATTAAGATCAAGGTAATCCAGATATTTTTGATTAAGCCAAACCATTAGCAGTACTTCTCCTAACCAGCTTTTCACAAAAGGAAATTCTCCAGAAATGCTTTGAAATCAGACATCAAAGTCAGGGGAAAAAAAAAAATAAGACATTTTAGAGCACTAATAGGAAACACGCAGAAAAACCTACAAAAACATGTCATTCTATCTGTTGCTGCCACGTGTTTCACAGTACTGTGGGTCAACCAGCACAGCACATCGAGTCCTGTCCAGGCTTCAGGGAGTGGGGAACAGCTGGAGGGTTTTACCTGTCAAAAGAAGGCTTCTCTCCACAGTCAAATGCATCCTGTAGCTCCTTGACAAGATTAGCCTGCCCAGGCAGTCGGAAAAGGCCCTCTTCCCTCAGCCCCCGCTGTCGGATAAAATCCACACACTGTTCCACCAGCATAGGAGCCAGGCGGTTCCCATAGCGCTTTTCGTACCGGACAGTATCTTCCAGCTTCTGGCCAAAAATACCTGCACCAAAAAGAAAGATGTGACTTGGCTGAGAATCATAAAAACATCTGAGGGGCCTGTGCCTTCTACTCCAACGCACGCAACTTACATGTCATTTAAATGTGTGGACAATTTATGTCCTGCTTTCTTAAGAATAAAATGCTTAATTTCACCTTTGACACTCTCACAGAAATACAGTGCTGACATATTTTATAAAAATGCCCAGAAACACTATTTAAATAAAACACTGTCAATTGTTTGCGAGACCATAAGCACATGAAACGTAGAAAGAACACAAATAGGATTTTCCATCACAAAACTTCTTATTCAAAAGAGATGAATATATACATATAGATATATATCTCCATCTTCTTTGGTTAATGCCTATTTATCTATTAAAAAATTAAGTACTTTCTGTGTGAGTTTCAATGGGCTATGAACATTATCTTTACACATTGGGAGGCAAAAGATTTATAAAGATAACTCTGGATTTTGATCCTACTCAACTAAATTATTAATTTTTCAATATAAACAAAGATCATTCCTATAACGTCTTACCTATTTCATTATCAGTGTCTGCTTTAGCAACAATAAATTCTGTGTGCAAAGAAAAGTGTCTGATATGAAAGGTGAAATGTGTCAAGATGAACTGCAGGAAATCTGCATTCATCCTTAACCTCATGAAGAGCATGGAGGTTTTTCAACAGAATCAACTTCAACTCTGATTCAAGGGTATCATTGCCAGCATTGGAAAGAGAGGTACTCATCATAGCTTATTTTGCCTCTCCTTTTCAAAGTGCAGAGCAGGCCACCACAGCATCACAATAACGTTCAGGCATGTCATCTGTGATGGAAGGTCTCTCTTGAGACCATCATTTGCTGAAGAGTACTGGGGCTGAAGCAAGGTAATTCAATTTCTATATATAGCAAGACAATGAATAGTTCTAAGGCAGTCATGATCAGAATCTAAAGAGCAAATAACTACCTCATTTTCCAATGATGAACACTATGAAGTTAAAAGAAAAAACAAAAAGCAGTAAGTCAAATTGTGTCCTTTACTGAGCACACAGTTCCTGCTGGCTTAAAAATTTTCAACGAGAAGAACAGAGTTGGTTTTGTTTGCTTTTTCCAAAGAATGCCCAAAGTTGAGTTAGTCAGCTTTTGATTTTGACCCAAAAACTTAATTCTCCCATAAATTACAACTGCGTGGCTAAGTGTCCATGAGCTAAAGGAGCATCCTTCGGGGTAACCTTCAATGCATACATTTTTCCTCCAACAGAAAGGTAACTTACACCTCAGTTGTAGGGGGGACAGCTGCCCTGCCTATGCTCCAGGATGTTATGGCAAGTGTCAAGGTGCCCACACTGAAGGTCTGAGGTTTGTATTTAAAAGCAATTACTTTTACTGTAGCCCAGGAAATAACTGCAGAGAGTAACTGATGTCCTGCTAAGACATCCACAAAGTCTCTTGAGATGCTGAGCAGCATATTTTGTGATTTCCATGGTACCCACACTTGTGGATGCCAAAACCAGCAGTAGGTAAGCGAATGAACATCACACAGTCGCTCTTTATTAGCTCATTTTTTTTCATGTTGTACAAAGCCCAACAAGTAGCAATTAAAGAAGGAATTTTTGACATTTCAGAGTGAGTCAAGCTTGGAAGAATACTGACTGATGTGGTGTCCACAAAGTTCGGGCTCTTCAGGCTGGTAGAGGAGTTAAAGCATGTTTTCTTATTTCTTACATACCTTTCTAGCCTCCTACAAACTGCCTAGGGGGATGGGAGGAGTATTAATTGAATTCAGGTTTCTTGTATTTGTCTGAGTTAAAAGTTGCAGCTGGTCAACACAGAGAACCTTTAGTCCTTCCAGTTGCTAGACCCTTCTGAAAGCAGGAGAATTAAGAAGGACGGTCCACTGAAAGTCAGTTAAGGAATCTGTGTGATTATGGGAGTTTGGGGATTTCAAAGTCCTTCTTAATGTATGAGAAGGCTGCTGTTCAGTGCCCCTCAATTTGTACCTTCTCCTGGCTGAACAAGCCCCACTTGCTCTGCCTTTCCTCAAAGGGCATGTCTTCTAGGTCCTGAGCACCTTAGTGATCCTTTGCTCAGCTCTCTCCAGTATTATTTCCACTTCCTGGTTTTGGTGGGGGGTTTTTTTGGTTTTGTTTTGGTTTTTTAAGTTCACGATATTTGGAATATGGTCTAAAAAAATGCTAAGCAGAGGAGGTTAATCACTTCCCTCCTTCTGTTAGCTGATACTGCCCAGACTGCTGTCTAATCTTGCTTGCTGCCAGGTCCACTGCTGGCTCGTGTCCAGCTTACTATTTGCCAGGGCATCCAGGTTCCTTCTTCAGAGCTGCTTTCCTGGGCTTATTCCTTCTTAGGTGTAGGACTTGGCCACCCTACTCCAGCTTATTCTATTAACATACAGACTTGAGCTTCCTTTCAAGGGCCCATGAGCTCTCTTGGTTTTAAACACAAGGGGTTTTGCCTCTTTTCAAACAAAATACGATAGGATATTCCAGTTATACAATTACAATGTATGTACAGTTACAATTCCTGCTCACTGACAGTACAATTAGAACAAGCCTGGCTATACTTCTCACCGTGCTAACTTTCTTTAATCAGTAATGTGCATATTGCTGCTTAAATTTGCAAATTGCTTTGGAACTCATACTAGTAATGACACTGCAGTCAAAACACATCACTTTCTATTAATATATTTTTGGATGCTGCCTTTTTTTTTAGTTTGTTTTTAAAATGGTTTTCAAAGCATATCTAATAGATACTTAATAAAATCAGAACAAGGCTGTTTCGTGCAGTGGAAGCAAAAAACCTTCATATATTATTATAAGTTGCTGATGTACGACAACATAAAATGCACTGAAGACAGGTTGCAGCCATAAAGTATTAAGATGTCTGTAACTAGAAATAAACACTATTTTTTAGGACAAATAGAAAGTAAGAAGTGATTCACATACAGAAGCTGACAAAGATTAAATACACGGATATGACAAACTTGGTTCTGCATTGTAGCAGAAAATTACACGTGTTGTAGGAAGAAAACCTTAATAAAACCTATATCTGAGGGAAAATAAAACCTGATGTGATAGAGAGGGAAAAAAAGTAAGTCCAAATCAGAGCCTAAAATTTCCTGGTTCTGGTCCCTTAAATGTAGACACTGATTTGTTTCTATTATTGTCTACAATAAGGGAAGTTGTAAATGAAGCAATTTTCACTGAGACACTTAAAATACACATAGCTAGAAGTGCCTGAAGGAGAGACAGAATAACTACAGCAGTTGTCTCAGATTTAACAGATTTGATTCAGATCCTACACAATCCTCAGAACAGTTGCATCAAGTCTGGCCACAGATATACTTTCCCAGGTGGAGGAGTAGGTGTATGCCCCATATCTTCACATGGCAGAGAAAGCCTCAGGGACTTGGCTTCCCATCTGTATGAATGTTGATAATACCATATTTACCTCACAGGCACGAGGATCTCCACACTCAGCTTTGGGAAGCTCATAGCTAATGTGGTAACTCTGACAACCATGCAATAACCTAAAGTTAAGACCTTAGTCTCATGAAAAATCACCATGTGACACCTTGAAGTCACCATTTACTACTCTCTTCATTCTCCGATTTGTTTGGCACTGGAATTTATCTTAGGAAGGTCTGAGTTTGTGCCAAAGTATAGACTGAACTCCTCCAAAGGAAGTATTCCTCCACCTAACAAATGCAGAACACTGCACCAGGCAGCACTTGGCCAGGAAAGAAATCAGTCATGATAAGCCTGCCCAAATATTGACTTGAAGTTACAGACTTGCTGATGCCTTATGGCAAAGGTACTCTGTTGCCAGGGGTAGAAGTGGCAGAAACACAAGAACTCTTCCTCCACATCATGTTGTCAGAGCTTTTACCTTGCTCATCATCTTTTTAGCACCTGTTGGGTTTTGCTTTAGAATAAAAGCCCTGTAAAATGCACTTTCTTCCACTGTCCCTTTCTAACGCTTTTATCCCCTCTTATGTCCCAACTAACTACTACAGACATATTGCAGATGAGCATTTTATGAAAGTTCAGATGTTGACCATTAGGAAGCAAAGGCAATGCTGTGAAGAATTGTGGTTGCAAACGTACAGTTACCTTAGAGGTTGGCAGAGACAACGATGAACACTATCAGCTGTAACTAGTAACTACTAGCACCTCATTTAGGAAAGACAGTCCAAGTTATGGAGACTACAACTTAACCAAAATCACAGAGATAATTTCTGTTTTTTAAAAATGTATAATGATAATGCTGTTTTTTAAAAGTAAATTTTCACTACAGCAACTAAACAAGAACATCTCTGTGGAGAAGGAAATAAAAGAGAGCCCTCATAACTCATGTTGTAATCCAAACCCAAGTTCTCTTCCTAACTCTCAATGTCTCCAAAATCCAGTATGCACAGATGCACAAGAGCTGACCTGTTGTTTGGTTTATCCTTGGGACAGGGTGCCAGAGGGGAAACAAATAAATCAACAAGAAACCATGAGATTCAGCATAGCAGCAGCTTTGCTTCCCCATAGCTGGTGGAAGGCTGGAAAATGTACAGGATTCCAGTTCTGACCAGTCATTAGATTTAATCAGCAGAACTGCTTTCTCAGAGAGCACTTGTAGGTCTTTAAAGCTATATCCAATTAAGTGAAGATCACGCATAACATCAAAGAGGAAAATCACATGCTAGCAAAGGGCATGCTGAGCAGTTATTCATTAACTAGAACATTCCCGTGGCAGAAGTTTTGTAAACATTATGAGCAACTGGATTTCCATGCTTAACAGATACCCAGGAACACTACGAAAGACTATTTCCAGTGCTATATGCAAATTCTGCACATGTCTACTCAGAAGTTGTGAAAGCACTGTGGTATTTTTTATGGTACATATTCACAGTTAGAGTATGGTTTTAAAACCTAAGCATGCTACTAGTCAATTATTTCCTTAGCTAACTGAACACAGGCAGGGTTCACATCTCAAGTCTCTGGACTTCTGATTCAGGAAGAAAAAAGGAGAAGATCAAGGTGGCTGTTCTGCCACCTTGCTCCCTAAAGAACAGCCCGAAATAAAGAATATCTCGAAAAAGCCCACCTGCCACTCTGGCTCTACCACAGCACAAGTACTTGGTGAGCCAGAAGATTTCAGGGAGAAAAAAGCACTGAGGGCTGATGCTTTCACAGAAGGCCCACACCTGTACGTGTGTTCTCCCAATGTGCAGCAAAGGATCCCTGTCCTTCCAAAATCAGTTCTGATTTTATGGGCTATACTGATCAGAAAGGGCCAGTTAAGGTCAAAGGAAATGATCTCAGCTTAAGATCTGGATGAGAATTTTAAGCAGCTCTCAATCTCAATCAGTAATTCACTGACAGTGAAAATAACAGATCAGATGAATGGCTTTCAACAGCAGGGCTGTGAACAAAGGTCCTGGAATAACACAAAGAAGTGGCTGTCGTGGGCACATAACACCTAATATGGAGTTTTAAATTATTTTCTATCAGCTTTCTGCTCAGATGTTCCCCAGAAGTAAGTGCTGTTTTGAGTGGATCCAAGGCAGGGAGTATTTTCTTCTCTACAAAATTTTGTAATGTAGAGGGGAGGAAAAAATCTCACCAAAACCAGCAGCAGCAGAATTTTGTTCCTGCCTGAATAATTTTCCTTCTTTCAAGCCTTTTCCTACCCCATAGTCAGTGTGATGCCAGCAGTAGAGAAGACAAGACAAATTTCTGCCCTGGAGTTTAAAATATTTGCACACTCAAATAACCTGCTTAGGAAAAACAACTCTGAAATAAAAGTAGAACTAGATTCAGGAAAGGAAAGAAGGCAATTTTAAAAACTTCCCTGGGAACTTATCACAGTTGATCACATCAGGCACTACTTCTCCAGCCACAGCCAATGCCACCTCCTCCTCCAAAACTCTGCCCATGCAAATTCACCATTCCACTGAGTGTTCTCACCACTGCATGCCACCCTCAGATACTGCTTTCTCCACTTACCCTGCATGGTCTCTCCAGAGGTTCCTGTGGTGGAACTTAACCAGAGAGCATCTTTTCCACACTGGAGTTTAAAAATGCTTGGCTCTGTCTCTGTTCAGATGCTGCCCTCTGAGCACTGACTTCTCCTACGATGTGACCTCCAAACAAATCTGACAATTAATTTTCTGGTGCCAATCACAATGGAAATTTGATCTGGATTTCCAGGAAGGGTTCTACACCTGGTCTCATTGGTGAAGATCATGACATATCTCTGTGAACAAAAACTGTCATGATTTCCTTCCCCTTCCAGTGACTAGCCAATGATTTTCCCTGGTAATTTTATTTTCTGCATCATGTTGCACAGTTTAGAACTAACTAATCTGCTTTATGAAAGTATGGAGTAGGTTTGCAGAAGGCTAGTTTTGCCTTTTTTTATATTTAAGTACACAATCTGCAAATGAAGTTATAGTAATTCTGTATGCCAATTAATAAGACAGGGGTAGTTATCCTAATTTGTCTGTGCAACCTTAATGAAAATCCAGTTAATGTTCATCTTTCTGTTGACTTCGGCAAGACAAGGACATAGTGAAACATATGCCCCCAGCATTCTGCAGGTCTGACCAAGGGGCCTTAAGACAACAATCTTGACAGAAATGTATATAAGAAAGCAACTGAAACATATGACACAGAGAGGAAAGCAAATTAGCAGCATCACCTCCATCATTCTGTCTCTGCCCCCAGCGCTGCCGCTTCACTAGGAGTTTTAGACACGGACAGCTTCCGTGTCAGAACATACGGAGAAAGAATCAACAGCTGAAGCTCTTCTTGGAGCAGCTAAGGCTGTAGCTAGGCACAAAGGCAGCTGTCTGCAAAATTATCAGTTAATCCTTTATTCGACTTCCAAACATTTCTCAAATAGTTAAGCGTATGAACTGGGCACAGGCAGCTCTAATTCACACCAACACCTTGAAATGCAGTACACACGAACATCCTCCTGGCCAGTCTCCAGCAGGACGGAACTCCAGCAATCAAGGGCCTTGGGGAGGGGGCACAGGGGGCAAACAGCTTTCAGTGCTGTCTCAGCTGCAGTTCTGCAGTGAGCCCCTCACTGGTTGTGATATCTCGTTTCAAGACATCGCCCCTGACTGCCTGCTCACACATCCCTCAAAGGCAATGACGTCACCACATCACTACTGAGGCTGGTGAGCAAAGAGCTGCACGGTCTTGCAAAAGGGTAAATGGCAGCATGAAGGAACAGTTGAGAAAGGAGCAAGAGAAGATGACAGAATATGTGCAAGCTCTGTATAAAATAATCTCTCACACTTCAAAACAACATGACAGCTTAGCCCTTTCACTGGCATTTCTCAGTTCAGCATCGCTTCTAAGACAACACCAATGTCCTCCTCTTCCCCTACACAAAGTTTTTGTCCTTGTCACAGAGGCAGTTTCTGCCCACCCATCTCAAGTGCTGTGGCACCTTACCACCACTTGTCATATCTCTTTCTTAGACATGTGTTTCCCTCACAGTGCTTCCAGCTGACATATTACAGAATCCAGCCTCCGCTTTGCCCTCCTTCCCTGAGTACTGCCATGCTCTGCTTCAACAGGAGTATGTGCAATGCAGAAGAAAACTGGCTTTAAACACCTCCATGCAGCAGGTGAAAAGGCAAATGGAGGCTGCAGGGCAGCACGATGAAGTGACAGTGCATCACTCGCAACAGGACAGTGCACTGTAGGGCTACACTTCAATCCATCAGAAATCTCCGAAACCAAGGACTCGGTCTTCTGCACAGAGGAACATTTATCATGTTGCTTTGGTCCCTTCTCTTCTACCCCCCTCCTACTACACAAATAAAATGCAAGCAGAAACTCTTTTTCCTGATGTTCTGCCAAGACAAACAGGCAACTCAGAGCATCACAGGTCTGATTCCCCCAGAGCTCTCACTTAATTCTGCTCAGAGGCACTGCAATAATCTTGTCTCAAACCACCTCATTCCAGCATTCATAGGCTATTATGTAGAGGAGACAGTATCAGCTGGCCAGCTACAAACAAATGAACAAAGAAGTAAATAAATCATTCGTGGAATGTTGGCATCTGCATTGTTTCATGTCTTTTGTTTCGGTACTCTCATCTGCCCCTGCACACACATCCCCCTTGACTTGTAAGAAACCACGGCTTTCCTAGCAAAGCAGAACGCAGTGACAGAACGGACCTACCTTTACGGAAACTAAAACACCGCTTAATTCTCCTATAAGTAGTTTTAGGAATGAAAGGAGCTGCTGCTAAGGCACCTGGGCTGCGGACTCCAGCATTTCTGTCTTCAGGCATCATACAGGCCAAGCCCCCACGTCCCTCCAAAGCTCTCCTTTACCAGCTGCATCCAGACGAAACACCACGACTGCTCATCGTTACTGACTGCTGAGGAGTTCTTATAATAGTGTATTTTCCTCTGGAGCTAGCAGATTTGTGGTCTTCTAGATCTTGGGTAGGGCTCGAAATGATTTTAATGTTCTCTTCCCTGCTTCAATTTTGCTTTGGGGAACAATTTCCTTCCATCTATTTCCTTTCGTTTCTTTTATTTCCTGCGGTGAGACAACTGCCTATTATGCAATGTCACAACAAAAGAGTTTTAGCAAAAAGATGTATCTCCCATTCAAACAGAAGTGCCTGCACAGACGGAGGGGGAGAAAGACCTCTTTCTCCCTGCTGGAACTGGGGGCTGAGCGGCAGAGTCTCTATTCCACAGGATAAGGTCAGCACTTTGCGGTGTTCAAGGGGAAAGAGAAGAACAATACCAAAAAGGCCACTGAAGAATCCTCCAGGATACAACACTCCTTGCTGGCACCCTCTATTTCTGCAACCAAGAAGCAAAAATAACAGCCCCTTCGCCCGAAAAGCTCTTTGTCCATAAGAGATTCCTTTCAAAAGACCTTTTATACACCCAGCTCCTCGTGTGATGCTCTCGTGGGCTTCTCGCTCGTTTTATTGCCTTCGAACTACCAGGAGCTCTCACGGGAGAGGCGCGTCAGATGCGGCAGCAGCGCATCTTCGCCGGCAGGATCCCGGGGAGCTGCTGAGGAATACGTGCCTCCAGACGGGGATGCGGTGGTGGCTCGCTCCCTCCGGCCCCTGGCCAGGCGATGGCAGCCCGGCTGCCGCCGCTGCCGTGTGCGTGCAGCAGGTGCGGGGGAAGGACGCGCAGGAGCCGCCGCAGCGCAGGTTTCGCTGCTCCTCCGGGTGACTTTGAGTTGACTTCAGGCGGCTGTCATGTGCGGCTGCTGGAAAACCGAGCGGGCTGTGCCTGGCTCCTGCAGGAGGTGCCAGACCTTACACCACTAGCCCTGCTAAAACGCTCATGCTCCTTCTTCTCCCTCCCCCTTAGTTGCAGGCTCTGTAAAAAAACTGCCTTTTTAATCTAATCAGGAAGGGAATTTCATGTGCAAACAGGCATTGCATGCCCTGCCTC